AGTCAACACATATATGGCAAACATTCAATGCCAGTTTGACAAACTTTAACTTTCTTCTGGCCGCCAGGGGAGCTGCTGCTTTTCATCGTCCATCAGCGACACCGATGAAGTTCTTCCGCATTCCACATTCCCCGGATTCTTTTTTCTTTATGGCCTCATAAATTAGTTAAATTTAGCCTCCCACACAAGGTAGTACCTTATTTTCCTACTTGACAGATGCAACTGTCTTTCGGGTTGCAAAGGTCGACAACGGGCTACACAATGGCTGGACACCCACTCCAGCCCGGGCTGGCTTCGAACTCATTATCTTTTGGTCAGAGTGATCTTAATGCAGCTGACACTCAGCCAGCTGCGCCACAATCCCGGTGCTAAATAGGTTCTAGTAAACCCTATTTACTAAGTAACCTATTTACTAAACCAGGTATTATCTGTTATTCAACACAGTGTTTTCATTTTGATACTCATACTTTGAACGCTTGCTTTCAGTTTGCATTGCTCTGCATGTGCTTCATGTGATGACTCTTCTGGGTCTTTCAATTAACCTTTGTTACTCTGGAAAGAGATAGTCTGATCTCTTAATCAGTTTTGAAATTCTCAGGATAATGCGTATAGAGAACAATTCAATCATGTTAAAGCCTTCTATTTTAAGGACTTTTTGAATGAAATATCCAGAATGTTAGCTAAGACACCAACATTTTAAAAAATAACAAATTGCTGTATAATGTATGCAAAGGGCTCCTTTAGAACCTTTGAGACTGAAAGAAAAAAAAGCTGATATCATAATCTTTTGTGATTGAGGCCATGTCTACCTAAGTAAAGTGGACACTACTTTCAATTGCTATGGGGAGTCCACACAGTGTACAACTGTATTTTGAACAGAAATGCTGCATCTGACCATTAATCTGGCACATGGGCAAATAGGGTTTACTAGAACCTCCAGAGTCACTCTGATCTTTTGGAGATGTGGGCATCTGGATCAGGCTGGATAGACATGATTCAGTATACACAGATCTCACAGAGCCACTGCTGTATTGCAAACAATAATCAGTTATTTTGCAGAGACTGGGGAGCAACATCACTTCTGGAAGAGGTCAAAACATGGCTGAGTGGCAGAGCCAGCCAGAGAGTAAGAACTCTACATTAGAACTTCTGCCTGGGGCCAACCTCGCCAAGTATACTACGGATGGCTCTCACAGCTGTGCAATTTCATCTGAAGCCAGCAGCAGCTAAAAAGTGACCAGTGGACCCAGAGCCTGTTTTGCTGAGCAGCAAAGGCAGCCAGAGGGTAAGAACTCAACATGAGAACTTCTGCCTAGGGCCAGCCTCATTAAACATAGTGGTGGTGGCTCCCACAGCTGTGCAATTTCACCTGAAGCCAGCAGCAGCTTAAAAGCAACCAGTGGACCCAAATCCTGCTTTGCTGTGTGGCAGAGGCAGCTAGAGGTTGAGAACTCCACATTAAAACTTCTGTCTGGGGCCAGCTGTAGCAGCACTCTGAGCATGGTTCTTTTACAACTATGTGTTAAGTATTGTTGCAATAATGTCTCATTTGTCCTTTGTTTTTATTGATGTTTTTGGATCTCTGCAGTAACTGAAGCTTCCGAACTCTCCTCAAAAGCAGCCCCATGTAGAAAGCATTGCAGTAGTCCAAATAGGATGTGACTAAGGCGTGGACTACCATGGCCAATGTATTGTCGAAGGCTTTCATGGCCAAAATCACTGGGTTGGTGTAGGTTTTTTCGGGCTATATGGCCATGATCTAGAGGCATTCTCTCCTGACGTTTCATCTGCATTTATGGCAAGCATCCTCAGAGGTTGTGAGGTCATCACATGGCCATACAACCTGAAAAAACCTATAACAACTTACAATGGCCAAGTCTGGTGTCTCAAGGTATGGGAGCAGCTGGCACACAAGTTTTAACTGTGCAAAGGCACTCCTAGCCACTGCCAACACCTGGGGTTCCAGGGTCAACAATGAGTCCAGGATCACCAACAGACAATCTGAAATGTGTCCAGAGAAGGGCAACCAAAATGGTAAAAGGTATGGATGCCAAGTCCTACAAGGAATGGCTTATGAAGATGACTATGTTTAGATTGGAGAAGAGGAGTTAAAAGACAGAACAGCTATTGACATCCTTTCAAATATTTAAAAGCCAGGCCACCATCTGTTAAGAGTGCCTTGATTATACATTTCTGCATGGCAGAATGGGGTTCAACTGGGTGGCCCTTGTGGTCTCTTCAAACTCTATGATTCTGTCATGCTATGAACTCCTTGTCTTCTTTTTCATGAGTTACTTATTATTGAGTGACCGTGTCTTCTTCTTTGAAAAGGGCTGGTGGAGGACTTTCTTAAAATAAAAGATATCCTCTGTTTGCTGTGCTGTTCTGTCAAGGGGCTCTTTCACACTATACAGGTATAGTGATTTCACTTTAGCTGCCATGGTGCCATTCTATGGAAACTTGGAATTTGCAGTCTGGTTAGATGAGTTTGGAATTCTCGGCTAGAGAGTTTTATGACCTCACCAAACCAACCAACCAACCAACCAAACAAACAAACAAAACAACCCCCTCCCACCGGGATTCTATTGGATGGTCATGGAAGTAAAATCACACTGTTTTGATCTTTATCTTTAAGGTCTGCTGTACAGATAAAGGGCTAAGAGAAGAGAAACAGGGGTTTTGAAGTTGCCCACTCACAGTTAGCCTTTCCACAGAAATCTAGGCAGACACACAAGCCACTTGGCTACTGCTATCCTCATTGCAATGTGGTCTATGGAACTTATATCTGTTCTATTATACTCGTTTCTAAATTTCCAACTATACATGTACATTAGCAGAATCAGAATTCATGGTGATCCCCTCTTGATTATGTTTAAACAAACGCTGAAATGTATTCCCTTCTCTCTGTAACCATAACATTCTTTTTGTTATAAGGAAAACTTTATATTGTCAAGGAGTCTGTCAGTAAGAAAAACCTTACCAAGACTTTAAAAAATAAATCCTTTTAAGAAATTGAGTGCCTTGCACTGAAGACTTTACTGTTTAGCATTAGAGGCTACAATGTGGTCTTCATTCTGATATTTTTCATGTTTCATTTTATTTTATTGTACAATATTATGAATACCGATGTGGGAGGACAATCTGGAAAGTTGATTTTGCAATATCTTTACAATAAAGAAGTGCTGCTGTTCCCACACCTCTCTCTCCTTCTCAGTGGAAAAAGACCACTCACAAACATGTAAAATGGATAAATCTCTCTTCCTCTCATTAGTTCTCCTTCCATCTAAGGTTGTCAGTGCAGCATACATGTGGTTATTCTAGTTATATTGTCACACCTTCCCTCCCCTTCTTCCTTTCCCTCTCCCATCTCTCTTTCTCACTCACACACAAATACACAGAGATAGCCATATCATGTGGGAGACATAGTGTCAAGCCAAAGTTATCTTAGATTTGGCTCTCTGTAGCCATAGATTCTGCACACACACATTCCCCCATCCAAGGCATGAAACTACACACAAACACACACAAACAAAGAAAAAAAACCTTGATTTTCCGTTTTACATAAGGGTCACCATTCTATTTGCCACAATATGCTCTGAATGTGATTTTCCTGCTTCTTGGCAGAGGGTTGGACTGGCTCGTCCACGAGGTCTTCCCAACGCTATTCTATTATATCAAATGGGACTTGAGAATCCATGGATTTTGCTGTCCATTGGGGATGGATGTAGTTGGAGGGTATAGTAAACATGATGACTTCTTATCAGCTTCCCATCAAGCATGTAGCCGGGGGGCTTGGGGGGGGGGCTTCGGGGGGCTTCAGCCCCCCCCCCCAAATTCTCATGGTGATTCATGAAAAGGCCTTACTGTTGCATTATTTAAACTGTTATGTTTATTCATATCATGATCTGATCACCCTACTCAATATGCATGGGGGTATTGGGGTAATGATACAAAAGGTTTGCTAGGGTAGACCCTCTTTCACTCAGACTCAGCCCCCCCCCAAAACAAACTCAGCCCCCCCCCCCGAATCGAAATCCTGGCTACAGGCCTGCTTCCCATCATACATTGAATATACTGTATTTACCTATATATAGATTGACCTCGAGTATATGTTGAAGGCAAATTTGGGGACCAAAATCATGGTACTGAAACTCATTTTTTTAAAAAAATATATGATTAATTCTATCAACTAATTAATTTTCCATGTAAAAATTCATTACAAAGTTGTATATTAATTTTGCATCATACCATTAATATTAATTCATCATGTAGCCTTTGCTACGAACAATTATTCTAGGTCTTCCCTTGTCTGGATTTGCACAATATTTCCATACTTATTTAACTGTAGTTTTTTTTAGTAATGCTGGCATAAATAACATTAAGATATTATTAAAGATCACAAGAAAAGGAGGAAACATTAGGAGAAAAATTCCTATGAGTAATACATGCTATTTATCACCTTGGAGAATTTTTACACTGGAAGAATACAAAGATATACATTACAAGTATTATGGAAGGCTTCTATGAAACATGTTTGATTGATGATAAAATTAGTTTGATAAATAGATCTTCACAGTTATAAACTACATGACTAGTGTTATGGAGTCAATTTGAAAAATATTGAAGCAATCAGTATATTGAAGATATATTGGTTTTCCTAGCCCCACTGTCTTGACTTTCAAAGATATAGACATAAGTAATATAGATCTGGCTGTGCTCTAATGCAATTTCATTTCATTTCATGTATATATTTTTTTGCAGTCACGTTTTCATGACTTGGATAAGAAAGAACCCCAGGAAATAATCTGGAAGTGCTCATTTTAAGATTAATCTAAGCCATTTAGAGAAAAGTGACTCCCCATCCTTGGAAGCAGTTTGTTGATATTTATCGGCAGCTGCAGAGACCATTTTGAATACAATAACTCCTTAATGAAAATATATTCTCCAGTTATCCATGTTTTTTTGATATAAAGGCACTCTCAAGGAAAAAGTAAACTTACCATCATGTTTGAAGGCCTCTGAAACGTGATAGAGGTTTGTGGGTGAGTGTTGTTGTTGTTGTTGTTGTTGTGCAGCTGCTCCATGCCAGCTTGGTGAGGAGATGCTTCCCAAAGGAGGACTGCTTGATCGCTGCCTGGTTCTTGAAGAGTAGGATGAACTGAGAGACTTGAGCCGTAGAATAGCAGCATATGTGGTAGGGATCCCAGGAATAGCTTCAGAGGATTCTGTTGGAAGGAGCAGAAGAGTGGGACACATTATGAGTTGTAGATCAAGGAATACAATTACAAGTTAACACCATTTCTTATACAAACATATCCAACAGTTCTTCACAATGTTAGCTTAGAAACAGATAAGAGTGGGGTCCAAGATAGAGTAACTAAAATGACAACTGGAAATGATTCCTTTACCTAATAACAGCTGTGTGAAAGGTGGGATTGCAACACTTGTTTTTGTTATATGTATATTTAATGCTTATGGAATAGAGGAAATTTCAGTGAATATTGCAGTCATGCAGTTAACAACAACAAAGGTCCAGTGCCAGGTCCGGTCATGGAGAGCTGAGGTGGCTGCCGGCTCCCTGACATCCCGGCTCCAGCTCAGCACTTCTCCTCCAATACTCAGAGAATTTTGAAGTGAATTTTGGAGAAACAAGGGGATGTTTAGAAATGTATTTCCTCTCTAGGGAAACTGGGAAACATTGTAATCCAAGCCCAACTGGATTCCAAAGTTGTCCCAGTTCTGCTTTTTGGGATCAACAAGGGTCATAATTTCTACTCTGACTGGCAGTCATTCTCCTTATTTTCAGACAAGAGCCTTGTCTAGGTAATGACTGAGACTGAACCTGTAGTAAAACATATATTCAAATACAAAGCTGCATGCAGTCTATATCAGTACTGCGAGAGGTCTATTTTTGTCTCCCACTATTCTTATTTTCTCTCTCTAACAGATACACATTCACACACAAATGTGTATACGGTCAACTGTTACTTCACTACACATGAGAAAGCACATATTGACACTAGCATGGTGTTACGGGAGTTCATCCTATTGAAAATGCCCAGCATCGAGCAGTCAAAGATACCATACCATGCATTCGGTTTTTCTTGTCAATCAGAAATGCTTTTAGTATTTTGGAATCTAGTACATATTGACAAACCGTCAAGCATGACAAGCAAGTATTATCTTCGATCAGCTGCAGGAGGTGGGAAACTGCATTCTACCTCTAGCTGTTAAGTCAGTAGGCATAGTGAGAAAATAGACAGGAACATTAGAAGCTGCCAAGTCATATGTCCACCAGCTCAAAACTGCCTTCTTGCACTGGCAACTGCTATCTATGGCTTCCAGTAAACATCTCTGCCTTCTCTGATAATGGATTTCTTTAGTGATGGAAGTGAATTTTGGAGAAACAAGGGGAGGCTTAGAAATATATTTTCTCACTTGGGAATCTGTGAAACATTGCAATCTGAGCCCAACTGAATTCCAAAGTTGTCCCAGTTCTGCTTTTTTGGGATCAGATCGGTTTCTTTTGGAAATGGTGCTGATGTCCTGATCGTGCATACATATTTTCTGTCTTCATATGTGTCCTTTTCATAGGTGCTAGTGTGTGCCTTCAGATCATTTCTAATTTACAGAAGCAATTAGATGAAACTGTCACTGAATCTTTTTGACAAGATTTGCTCAGATGGCCTTTGCTAAGGCTGAAAGGGGATAATTTGTCTAGCATTACGCAGTGGGTTGGCATGGACAAGCAGAGATTTTCCACCTAGTCTCTCACAATTCTTGTCCACACTCATACCTGAACATTAGGAAGAACTTTCTGACAGTGAGAGCAGGGGAACTCTCTACCCCAAAGTGTGGTGGAGGTTCCTTATATGGAGGCTTTTAAACAGAGGCTGGATGGCCATCTGTTGGGGGTGCTTTGAATGTGATTGCCATGCTTCTTGGCAGTGGGTTGGACTGGATGGCCCACGAGGTCTCTTCCAACTCTATGATTCTATGATTCATACTATTACGTCATATAAAAAATTAACTGCTTTGTTTGAGAGGCGGGGCTTCCTGAGTTTAAAAATCAACTGCTTTGTTTGAGAGGCTGGGCTTCCTGGTTATCCTATATAAACCAGTGTCGCGCGCGCCGTGAACTTGTACACTCAGTAACCTATACTTTCACCCCTGCATACAGACAACATCAAACACACACCAAGAGGAGGTCATTAGCAACCTCCAGATGGAACAAACACGAAAACTTCCCGTCTCATGCACAAGCTGTGGCATGTTCAGCTTTTTCACACTACAATTACTCAATTACATCTGCCCCAAGTGTAAACAGATCACTCGCATGGAACACAGGATCCGACAACTCGAGGACCGTATTAAGACCCTTAAGGACATTCAGGAACTTGAGCTGTTCTTAGACACCACACACCACACTGTCCTAGACACGCAGCCCATATCACACCAACATTACGGGGAGGCTCAACAGAACAGCACCTCAGATGTGGACAACCCTCAGGCTTGGAGAAATGTCACCCTTAGAAGGACACATAGGACCCGGAAGCCTCCTCAGAATACTTCCGCTCAGCTGCAGTTACACAATAGATTCCAAATTCTCACACAACTATCACCTGACCAAGAAACACAACATATTGGGGAAGACCAGAATGGCTTAGATACTGATCAGTGGCTCATCCTTGATCAGTGTGCAGGGGATAGCCCTGACTGGGACAACACTTCACAACATTCACACTTGCACAATCGTGCAGGTGTACCATCCCCAACCATAGACCAGGAGCAACAGGAACACATACAGGAGAACCATAGGCTCTTGGACGAATCTCAATGGATTGTCCTTGACGAATGCACCGGGGATGTCGAGGAGGAGGACAACACTTTTCACCTACACAATTCACACCAACACGATCACTTTTCTGGAGACCTACACACTACATTGCACAAAAGGGGCCCTGTCATTCCTGAAAGTAAACAGGTCTTGGTAGTAGGCGACTCCCTCCTTAGAGGAACGGAAGCTGTCATTTCCAGACCAGATGGGATGGCTCGAGAAATATGCTGCCTACCGGGGGCAAAAATACACCATATCACTCAGAGGCTCACCAGGCTCCTCAAGCCCTATCACCGTCCTCCCCTCATGTTGATTCATGTAGGAACCAATGATACTGCAAGGCATACGTTTCAAAAGATCACAAATGATTTTCGAGCTCTAGGAGCAAAGCTAAAAGAATGTAATGTACAGGTGGTCTTTTCATCCCTCCTCCCTGTTGTAAGACACGGACCCACAAGAGCCAGAAAAATAGTACAGGTCAATGACTGGCTTAGAAAATGGTGTCAGGAGGAACGCTTTGGCTTCCTCGACCATGGCCTGCTTTTCCAAGAGGATGGCCTACTGGCAAGGGATGGGGTGCATCTCACACAAGTAGGAAAACACCTTTTTGCTCACAGACTCGCAAACCTCATTAGACGCACTTTAAACTAGGTCCACCGGGGGAGGGGGACAACAGCCTTGCGAACACTACTTTACCCATAATGTCTGGGAATCGCCAGAAGGCTAAACGGAGGGCTGCACAAACACAACAAGGACCAAGTACCAAAAGCACAATAATCCCAATTAAACAGCTCAAGGGAAGATCTCAGGGGCTCACATGTCTTTACACTAATGCACAGAGCATGGGAAATAAACAAGACGAACTCCAACTTTTAGCACAACACCACAAATATGATATCATAGCCATCACTGAAACCTGGTGGGATGACTCCTATCGCTGGAATGTAGATATCGAGGGGTATAACCTCTTTCACAGAAACCGAACAAAGGGGAGAGGAGGCGGAGATAGCCTTATATGTCAAAAACTCTTATGCTGCAGAAGAGATTCAAGACAGCAATCTGGGAAACCAGCTTGAAATCATCTGGATAAGAATCAAGGGAACTGGGACTCAAAAAGATGTCGTTGTAGGTGTCTACTACAGACCCCCAAGCCAGGAGGAAGAACTTGATGAAGTCTTCTGCCAACAGTTGACCAAACAGGCACAGAAAAGAGATGTAGTAGTCATGGGCGATTTCAACTATCCCGATATTTGCTGGAAAACAAACTCGGCCAAGAGTACAAGGTCCAACAAATTCCTCGCTTGCCTTGCAGACAATTTCATGGTCCAGAAGGTAGAAGAGGCAACAAGGGGATTGGCTACTCTTGATCTCATCCTAACAAATGCGGAGGACCTGATCGATGCGGTCAAAGTGGTAGGATCCTTAGGGGCAAGTGACCATGTGCTCCTGCAATTTGAGGTACAAAGGAAGGCCGAAACTAAGACAAGTCAAACCCGCATTTTGGACTTTAGGAGAGCTGATTTCCAAAAATGAAGGAAACGCTGAGCAGCATTCCGTGGACACAGATACTAAAAGACAAAGGAGTTACGGATGGATGGGAATTTCTCAAGAGTGAAATACTCAAGGCGCAATTGCAAACCCTGCCAACAAAGAGAAAAAATAGGACAAGTGCAAAGAAGCCAGAATGGATGTCCAAAGAACTTCTAACTGTGCTAAGACACAAAAAAGACATGCACAAGAAGTGGAAAAAGGGAGAAATCACCAAAGAAGAATTCAAACAAATAGCCAACACCTGTAGGGAAAAGGTCCGCAAGGCTAAAGCAAAAACGAGCTCAGACTTGCCAGGGACATTAAAAACAATAAAAAGGGCTTCTTTTCTTATGTCAGTAGAAAAAGGAAAAACAAGGAGGTGATAGGGCCTCTTCGAGGAGAAGATGGGGCAATGCTGACAGGGGATAGGGAAAAGGCAGAACTACTTAATGCCTTCTTTGCCTGGGTCTTCTCACAAAAAGAGAGTCTTCAACCTCAGCAAGATGGAGTGGATGAGGGATTGGAGGACATCCAACCCCAAATTGGGAAAGAAGTCGTCCAGGAATACCTGGCCGCTCTTAATGAGTTCAAGTCCCCAGGGCCAGATCAACTACACCCCAGAGTATTGAAGGAACTAGCGGAAGTCATTTCGGAACCATTGGCAACCATCTTTGAGGGTTCTTGGAGAACGGGAGAAGTTCCAGCAGATTGGAGGAGGGCCAATGTGGTCCCAATCTTCAAGAAGGGAAAAAAGGATGACCCAAACAACTACCGTCCGGTCAGCCTCACGTCGATACCGGGCAAGATTCTGGAAAAGATTGTTAAAGGAAGCGGTCTGCAAACACTTAGAAACAAATG